TTCATGGTTCTGATTAAAGTGCTAAAAACCTCATGCATTAGTCACCAGCATAAACCCACAATTGCTCTGTAATCAGCTTTTATGGTATTGGCCACCGAGGCACTGTTACTCTGGTGGTCTCACTTGGGACTTTAATGGCCTGGCAAGTCCGAAACTAACGAATTTCATTATGTGGCTTTATGTGACTCTCTAAGTAACTCTACAAAATGTTACTACAATAAATAATCTTTGAAGTAAATTAGATTAAAAAAATCTTTACCCACAACAAAATCGAACACCAGAGCATGTAAATGACGTAACCTGAGCCACCTTTACAGGGAGATCAGATTTACAGAGTTTACTACAACCTCTTCCCATGTGGCATTCCTAATTACTCTCCACAAATATTACAATTTTTGAAAAGTATCACTTCAGGGAAAGTTGATTATAGGACACTGTTCAGAAAGAAATAGGTTGAACTCTCAAAAAGAAGGGGAATAAGTAACTTTTCTGGTACCCAAATATTCTCCTCCCTTTAAAAAAAAAAAAGTGACCAATTTTCTCCTTTTTGCTTCATTCCTATCTGTACACAGGAAGAGTGGCATCATTTTGAACTTGTTTTTAAGAAATTTGGTTGGAAAAGTGAAAAAAGTGAGGCAGTTATTTAATTGATACAAACTGATTAGAATTCTCTGTAAAGTCTTGCTTGTAGATATAAAATTCAAAGGTGTTTTGAATTTTGACTCTTTAACAGTTGCACTGTTAAAGAATCAAAAATGACAAAGTTCATGGGATAGAATTATCTTTAGGTTATAGGTACCTAAAAACCTAGGATTTAAGTGGTATTTGTTTCCCATAAATAGAAAATGTGTGTATACTCTGGCAAGTCTCAGCCTTGCAGACTGTAGAATCCATACTAGGTTCAATTTGCCACCAGTTATTAACTGAGGGTAAGGGGTGAGTTACAGATAGAAATAAGCTGAGTGTCACAGTCGTGCCTCTGAGAGACAGCCTTATACTATTAAGACAACATACAGAGACCACCCCCTTTTTCAAAATTGATATGTTAATCTGAATTTCAAAACCCACAAATTGACAATCTTATAAAATTGCCACAAAATCTGTTAAAATATTTGTAACCTTAAAATGCATACAAATTTGGTGAGAATCCTCTTTTGCTCTATTTTCATAGTGAGCTAGATCCTTTCCTTATTTGGACAGGCATGTTATTTCCAGAGAATGAATCACTGAATTTCAAGGGATTTCAGGCTGTCTAGCTGACTCAGTAACTGTGGTTTCAGTGGGCCTATCTTCAAACTGCATCAGATCTTAGAGCAGTGAAGCACAAAGCAGAAATACAAAGCACAGCTCCTTTTCTCCCACTCAGATGGAAAGAAGGTGATGAACAGGGAGATTTCAAGAGTTAAAGAATACTTTAAAAATCATAAGAAATCTCATTTTTTATCTTCAGTTTTCAAAGCTGATATTCTTTCTCCAGAACACAGTTCTAATGACATCATAATAAAGTCGAGATGCATTTCTTAGCATAAAGATAATAGATGAATAATTAGAAATTTGTAATTTAATACAGAAGACCGAGAATCTGTCTTACCTTTCCTAAGACAATAGTGAAATAGTAGCATTTTTTATGTGTAAAGGCTCTCCTAGCATATACATACACAGAATGAAAAGGGATCTAACAAGGGAAGAATGAGATGGAAATTCTGCAAGAATAAACCCCCAGGTTACACAGCAAACAGGTGAGATATGTACAGAGATGCAGCTACTACCTTGACTTAAGAAGCAGCTAGAGAGTGGGGAAAGCTAACTAGAAGACTAACCTACAGGATACAACATGCGCCCCAAAGTAATTTTAGCAAAAGTAGAAGTCACCTAGATATATATACAATGGATGATGAGCTTACCTAGTTAATGCAAAGGATTAAAAAAAAAAATCCAGCTGGCTATTGACTCACTTAAAAAATATAAAGTTGACAGGTTAGTCTAGCTCTTACCTGCTTACTTAACAATAGACTCAGGTTATAGAAATTGAGAAAAGCATGTAAGTTTAAAAGACCAGACTCTGACCTCAGCCTTACAGATGACCAAACAGTTCACTGTCTACGCCAATTGAAGAACAAAAGGATGACATTAGACCTCTGGAGAGGATGCCTGAAAGATCACTGTTAGAAACTCATTGTTAAACTCTGGCTATAAAAACTGAGTCTTGCACTTAGGTCACTTGCAGCCCAATGTGATAACTTTCATCTTCTTTTCGAGACAGCCTTTAGGACAGAACACAAATCTGGGTGAAAGTGAGAAAATGGGCAGGCAAACGATAGCCAAGTGAGCTGAGGGAGCAGCTTCCACAGTCTCCAGCTTCCCTGACATGCTTGGGGCCACTGTTGAGCCAAAGCAGCATTTTATTTCACTTCAAATGAAATTTGAAGCAATTCATTAAAAAAAAAAATCTGTCAGGAGAAGGAAAGATGGCAGCAGGTAAACTAGGATTTGTGTGAATTCTAAATGCTTAGTAAACATCTTGCTAAAATGCCCAGGTTATATAGCTACCAGCTGGACAATACAGCTGGGGATCACTTTAGATTTATGTAAAATCTACACCACCACTTAAGTCCTGAGTTACTGAAGAAAGGGATTGTTAGAGCCAGGCCAGGGAGTTGGACTTAATAAAGCATTTCAGAGGGGATCAGTGGTTCTGGGGTGATCAGTGTCTAAATTCTTAATCCCCATATACACATTTGATCGTTAATTCGGCACCATAACTCATCAAAACCAGGCATACTATGTGAAAAGAGTCCCCTGATATTCTGTACAGACTCAGCATTAATTCATTCAAACTGTACTACTGGAAATCATCTGCATATTGTAGAACAGAGTTCATATAGAAAGTCTACTAAATCCCTGGATATCAAGGAGCTTGGATCAATTTATTGTATGTGTTCTCTTATTTTTATTATTGAAATTTAAAACTGTCATTTACTGACATCAAAATGTTTACTCGGCAATGAAGAAAACCCCATAACAGCTGTGTTTCTGTAGTTTTTAGCACAATATATATGAGAAGTGTCTAGAGATCAATTCATTGTGAAGACTTTCTCCTAGCCAGAGTGTGGTAAATTATTTGAAAACCCTAGTATCCAAAGCAGCTTGCATGCTCCTCTTTCATTCATTTACAAATGTTTTCTGAGATACAAGCCAAATTTTAACTTACTGTTAAAATTCTTAGTTATGGCAAAAAGTAAACACTTTGGTGAGGCAAGCAAACCATGCAAAAGTGAAATTGGAGATCTTATAGTACAGGGAGAGAAGGAGGAAGCTCATGGTGAGTTTGTTTGTTGATTATAAGGCTTTATGGAAATGTGTTGGAGTAGGGCTGTATTTTAAACCTAATTGCTCTGGTTCTTGACTTTTGTACCATAGTTGTTATCTCTGTTCCCTTTCCCTGTAGACTTTCTTCCTTTGGATTGTATCACACATGCTTTGTAGTGCTAGTTTGCTTTTATGAGGATTTCTTGCCTTTTAATTTTCTGTGCATTTCCACTTCTCCATTCAGAGGCCTATATTAACATGCTAAAAGCACTCAAAAATGTTTGATAGATACCTATATGTTGCACAATTATGACTGTTCTAATTAAGATAAACAGAATTCAGTGCATAAATTGAAATCTTTACTAATCGTGATGTCATGAAGCTAAACTACTAATAGAAACCCAGAAAATATCCTAACATGAGGAAATTAAGCAAAATTCTTCTGAATAAGTTACATCAACAAAGAAATCAAAGGAGAAAATGAATATTCTGGAACTCAACCAAAATTAAGACCCAAGCCATCAGATCCTGTGGCATGCAACAAAAACTGATGAACTTCATACCATGATAAGCGACATAAATAAGGACCTTTGCAAATAAACAACCTAACCCAAAGTACTTTACATATTCAGCACAATACCTATTAATATTTCAAAGATATTTCTTAAAGAAATAATCTAAACAATTCTAAAATTTTAAAGAGCCACAAAAGATTCTGAGTATGGACCTCACTGGTGGCTCAAGGGGTTAAACACAACACTGTGAAAGTGTCCACAGCATGAGTTCCATCTGCTGCCAGGGAGGTGACACACATGGCAAAGCAGACCTCTCCTGTCTGGCCTGTTCTGCTCCCTCCCCTTGCTCCCCACTGGCTCCAGTGAACCCTCTTACCCACCCCACCCCCTGGACCTCTG